GAACCACAGAATATTGAAGTAAATATGCTCTATAGCAGTTTGACCAAAGCAGAATCTGAAGCAAAACGACACGATATGTGAAGAAAGAGCATGTGTGCATAGTGTGGATGCTCAGCATGATGAATCATGAGTTCTACAGTGTCATTGGCTGTCAGACTCATGCCTTACAGTAAAAATCCGGGGTCACCAGGTCACAGTGTGTGATGGACAGGCCTTCTGACAGGGAGTTCCACATGAGTATCTGCATGTGTCAGAAATATATCTAGGACAGTCAGCCTGAAAAATGCTCCAGTCTTTGAAATATTGTCTTACTTGTATATATGCGATACTTCCTAGAGTTTGTTTCCATGTCTGAAGACACTGTCACCATGACGATACAGAATAGAAAGTTAGAAATGCAGATTACATCAAGTGGACATGAATAATGCAAGGTACATGGTAGATTTGTTTATCATTTTACAGCACAGGGTTGTGTAACAAGATGAAGTTGTAGTTCCCTTTGCGCTACTTACAAAAAGCAAACATTAAACAAAAACGTTATACACTAGATGGGTGAGTAAATAAGTCTTAGAAATGATTCACTGCAAAAACTAAAATCTTAGTAAGATTAATTATCGTAATTGAAGGCAAAATATGCTTGTTTTTTGTCTGACAAAAAACTCCTCCGCGAGTAAACGGCGTAGTTGTCAGAGCAGAATCCAAACCGACTACGCGTCTTTATTTGTCCAAAAGCTGCAGCGCTGTTCCTGGTTCTGTCCTAGCTTAGTAGTTTAGTAGCTCTCTGCTGGCCAGCGGCGTTTCAATCCCCCTTTCTGCCTGGCCCTCTCCACACAACGCTCTGAAGCCTCTGTGATGTCCGGATAATCTCAACCCTGAAAGGCTATCGTGACTCAACATCATGCGAATTTCTCACTCGAGTTGAAAATTTTCAACATACGTACATGAAGGCTTTCGCCTCGCCGGCAGCGCCCCCTCTGCACTGCCCGACAGGAAATTGCGCCTTTCTGCCTCTTTGCTTTGACTTTGTATGTAAACGCACTGCCTACAATGTTCGCTTTGCTTTAGTATTAGGAGCACCTTTAGTATTAGGCGATACCATGGATGTAGTGGGTTGTAAGTAGTGTGGCATTAAACAATATAAGCAAATTAACAGAAGTAGTTCTGAATGATTTTATTTACTTACTTGTGCTGAGCAAATGAAGCCTCATTGGAAGCCTCCATTCTGATTCTCTCTCTGTCTTCTCCCAGCAACACAAAAACATTTTCCCACCTGACAAGCACTCAGTAAATTTCTGCTCTTTAAAGCAACCTGAATCATTCCTCCACTAATTCTTCACTGGTGCGATGACGGATTTCTGGCAGTGTAAATGCTTTAACTTTTAAAGTGGATTTTCACATGTTTTTATTAACCTGACCTACAACGTGTTTCTTTTAATATAAAGAAAATTGCAGAAGTCCTTCTAGCTGTTTTGTCTCTATATTTGTATTTTATTCTACATTCAGTCAGAGTTCCGATGGCTTCTAAGCTTGTAACCCACAGATATGGAACACTGTGTTAATTCAAGCGGAGCACTGAAGTCTCACTTGCATTACTTCTCACTATTACTCAGCTCATGCGCTTATGGCAACGCCATTTGCCGCTAAAGCTCTACCATCACCCCAACCTCCTCCTCATGTGCTAAGCTTTTAGTAAGGTTGATTTTTATCTAAGAGGGGTTGTTCATGTATGTGTTTATGTAGGGGGATTAGTTCTATCAGCATTATCCTTGTTGCTTCTCTGATTCTGTGAGAACTCACTCAAAAAGCACAGCCTGACAGTATAACCATAATCAGTATGCCAAAACCAAAAGCTTTATGTACTTTCCTTGATTTGGTAAATATTGTAAAAACCCAGGGGGAACAATAATAACTGAAGGCTACTGAGGTGAGCTTCTCCCGTTTGGATTTTGGTGGTTGGACTTGAAGAGGACACAGTTCAATGGTCTTTTAGTGAGTTAATTATACTGTTTTTTTAACTGAATACCAAACGTGTAACCCTAACCCTAAGTGAACAATGGTTCTATGGATGTAGGTCCAAGCTCCACAGGTTGTCCGGTAAGAACAGTATATATATGGGGTTGGGTCAATGAATCCAGTTCATAACACACATTGAAGTGCCACTCAGTCTTTGTTGGTAGTTTAGGATATCCCTATGTGAATGTGGTTACTACAATAAAGGGTATATAATATAATAATCTGCAATAGTAATAGAAATATAAGAAAAACAGTGCGAAGATCTATAAATGAGATACAGTCCTCATAACTGTTATGGAGGGTTAACAAGGTGCAAACTCTTAGAAAGGCTCGTATCCACTACTACACACAGAGGAGAGAGAGGAAATGCACGATGGTCCCATTAGCTGGATATACTTACTTTTTACTACGGGTCCGCATGTGCATGATGGCTGCCTCTTGTGTCCCGCTGTTTGGAGCGTTGGTTGTGCACATCCTCAGCAATGAATGCAACGCGTTCACAAGATGCACATGAATGGTAAGGTTAACCGACATGATGTGGCGGTCAAACTATGACAGGGACTCGAGCTCCATCAAAAGAGGGATGCCTCTACCGAAAAACTGTTGAAGAGTGGATTACCTTCTGAACAATGTACATTACCAATAATTAGACTCTTAATTGAGAACACAAAGGTTGCAGTTTGCTTCGTAGATGTAATGTGCTTACCATGAACAGTCTGGTCCAGCTGGTAATGTTAATATGAACTGAAAGCCTGAAGTCAGCACTGAATCCCACTGGGCTGGAAACATCTGCTGCACTCTATATACAGATTCTAACTTTCAGCCGTGTAGCTGTATCTGGCCACATTCCATGTTTTCACCAGCTTCACATCACTGATTGAACAAGAACTGACAAAAAACCGGTGTGCCTCAGACACAAAACAGGCGCGTGAGTCAGAAATGAAACCAGCAGTTATTTTTAATGCTATGTATTTTTTATTTTAATAAGATTTGCTGTCACTTAACACATTTAATCACCTCTTTAAGTCACACCAATGATCTCTTTCTCTTCATGTGATTTCTCCCTACAGCAGTAATTACTGTAAGAGCAGATTAACGCTAATGATATCTTATGTGAATTGTAGGCATCTAGGTAATTAGCTGTGTCTGGTTTGACTGATCTTGGATCTTTTTGGCCAGGGCTCTGGCTGATGGGTTGAGCAGGGATCAAACATAAACTTGTGAAAGTGACTTGTGTTCTCTTGATTCAGAAACTCATCTGAAAGGCTGAAACACATCCGGAATCATATAAACTGAATAAGGTGATAATGTCAGATGTTTGTTTTCAGCTCCTTCTGGCAGGATGAGGGTAGAATACATGCTTTCTCAGATCAGAGCAGAAGCAGGTCAGCACGAGTTTCAGAACCCATTGGCTATTGACTGACAACAAAGCCTCTGGGGGCTTCTGGTGTAGCCAGCAGATATCCACATAGCAGATAACAAATATCCGGTCCAGGACTTCCTCTTCCATGTGTCATTGTTTCAGCCAATGCGTTCTGCCTCTTTTGCTCTCCACACGGAATGTTTTCTTGCTCAGACTACAAACGAACTGCAAACGAACACAAGAGCCCTTCAGATAACAAAATCTTGTGTCTTGCCTATATTCTGCATTCATATGCAGGAATCTGTTCATAAAGATTAGGTCAGCACCGTCTGAGATGTCGCATTGGATGTTTCTACAGCACCCTTGAGTCTCAGTGCCATTTGTGAGGGTGTCTTCACTTTAGTTTATTCACTGTGTTACTGTGGCATCATTTGAGACTCATTGAATAATTCTGATTTAGTTAAGCAGAACAAATCTTTCGTGTCAGTTGTACAGTTGGAGTTTTTGAAATGCTAAACCACTTTGTCAAAATGCACCAGCTGTTTAACTTTAAGTAAAACTGGACCAATGTGTCTCTGACTGACACTGATGGTCTTTATGGACTGTGTGGAAATTATTTTCTGGCTGATCTTTACTGATATACAGTATAAACATCACATTGACAATAAAATACAATCTACAAGTATTCGTGTTGTAATAAGTAATCACTTACGTTATAATAAACCATTTCCTTTTTCATGTTTTAGAACATGTTGTAGATTATAACAGTGTCTACTGCAAAGTAAAAGTGCATTATGGGAAGTCTCCTGGCAGTCTAGGCCTATGGCAGCATAATTGAAGGATGGTTCAGGGCTCACCCTGGCCAGCCCTAACTATAAGCTTTATCAAAGAGAAGCATCAAGTTTGGCATTTTGGCCATCACCACCTTGGTGTTTTGGAATCAGAAGTGACGAGAGGGTGGAGCTAGCTAGCTAGCTTGGTACATCTGTAATTCACGATAACTATGAAATTAACTGCGAAAAACAGGCTTAAAACAAAATGTACTTACCCCCCCAAAAAAACAGCCGAATTCTTTAGTACAACTACACAAAACATTTTGTCAAAAGTGGTAAAATTAACTTTCATAGACAGAAACACACTGTGAAAGCAGTACAGTCCCTCACACTTTAGAATATAGTTTTTTCTAACTTGTCCTGTTCTCCACTGGTAGCTATTGTGTTGAAAAAATCTCTTGTCTTGTCTGCCATCTTTCAGACAGAATGAACATGTGCGGCTGTGGTATAGCGGGTTGCCTGTTAATCTAAAGATCGGCGGTTCAATTCCCGGCTCCTCCAGGCTGCATGTCGAAGTGTCCTTGGGCAAGATACTGAACTCTGAATTGCCCCTGGTGGCTGTTCCACCAGTGTGTGAATGTTTTGATGTTAGTTTCTGTTTGAACACTTAGGCTCAGTGTGTGAATGTGATGTAGTGTGAAAGTGGTTGCAAAGACTAGAAAGGCGCTATACAGAGCATTTACATGTGTGTTTCATGTTTTGTTTAATTCACAGCTGCACTATCCTGTTCAGGTCAGTGTTAAGTTGTTATTCTACTGATGTTTCACCTCTCTCCTGTTGTGTTTCCTCAGACTTGCGGCGAATGACGGCAGGTTTCATGGGCATGGCGGTGGCCATCATCCTGTTCGGTTGGATCATCGGCGTGCTAGGCTGCTGTTGGGACAGAGGCCTCATGCAATACGTTGCCGGCCTCCTCTTCCTCATGGGAGGTAAGTCACACAAGCGGCGATTTTGTGTTGTGGCGGGTGAATTTGCCCAACCTACCAGCCACAGTAGCGGGTAAATGTAGTAAGTAATGCACAGAGCGATTTGTGACATTTCACAACACAGACTGAACCACGAGTCTACTTGTTTCACTGGGACACTTTCACGTTGTCATTATTGATAGGACTATTTAAGCAGTTAGGTTACCTAAAACCAACAATGCTCAAATGACTCTAATTAGGAATAACGCTGCATGTGTTGTTAATCACATTTAGTGATTTTGTAGGGTGTTCCACAGAATTTTGTTACGCAGCCTCACTATCATAAAGGACATCAATACACGTATTTTGCCAAAATGGTGAACTATTCTTGTCTCAAAATAACAGTAAATTCACAGCTAAAACATTATCCAAGTGTGAATTCATTTTACATACATCTAACTACTATGAGAAGCATTACATACAGTCTGACTACCAGCACACACTGCCTAAGACCAGAGAGAAAAAAAACACAGCAAACAGCAATGTGTGTATTTGTGTTCTCATTAGTGAGTGTTGATGGTGGTAATTTAGACTGATGAATGAAAGTGCAGTGTATGAGCTACATATCCAGCTCCTGCCTCCCCTAAGCACACACACAGACACACACAACCCTGTGTGTCCCACTTCCTGGCAGTGGACAGTCAGTAGTAACTATACACACACACACACACACACACACACACAAACACACACAGCTCTGGCTTGGCAACTACACACTCAATTATGATGGGCCTTGGATTAGTGCTGTGCCCTACAGTTGTATAATGAACAGGCAATTAAAAAGTCAATTATGTTGCTTGGCAATGACGGCACAAGAAATAGCCTGGGTCAGTCTGTAGTGGCCAATCACAGCGAAGCAGCCCACGGGGTCACAGAGCTCCCAATATGAGGCCTAATACAGAGCCTGCAGTTTCAGCTGCTTTAGCTGAACACAATCCAAAGTCATTTAGATGAGATAAAGTGGGCAGGTTATTTAAAAACACAGCAAGTACAGTACGGAATGTGTGTTGTTTGGTAGCATGTTCTCCTTGTGTTCTCCTGGGTTTATGCCGATACTTAGTGTTTTGGTGGTGAATCGGACTGAGGCCTTTTTTTCTGGAAATACCAATTCATTCCCAAAGCGTCCACAGTAGAGCAATGAAGAGGGCAAGTGAGGCAGTTCTTTTCAGTTAATGCAGAGACAGGATCAGGAGATCTACTGGAAACTTTATGGTTGACTCACGAGACACTGAGCTGGAAAAATTCTGTAAATATGTTTTGTAATGAACATAGTTAGGAAACGTTTTTTTATATTTTATATATATTAAATGCATCTGCTAGCTGCTCAGTGCCCAGTCAACCTCACTCCCTGACGCCTTAGGTAGGACACACACTGGCGACTGACGCTAGTGGCAGTGGGTTTGAGCCAGTAGTACAACCTCGGAGGGAACTGTTACACCAACACGAAAGATTTTTTGTAACTTTCCAAATCTGACAACAAGTATGCTTGCTTAACATACAGACTGTTTAGTTGTGGAGGTGAGAAAGTAGGATGGGTTTTAACTTCTCTCTCAAGCTACTTAAACTACATCTGTCACTTTTCATGTGAACAACCAACTGCGACCCCATAAATACCTTCAAGGAGAGACTGTCTCAAAGTGTGAGCCGCTATCTCCAAATCTCTGTGGCCCTTTGAAACAGCTATAAACACTGTTGCATTTAGGTCAACCTACCCTGGCCTTTAAGGTTCGAAAAACGTGGTGGTTTTGGTATGGACAAGGTAATGGCTGATGTAAAAACACAAGCTAGTAGGCATTGACTTGATCAAAATGTAACCAATCTTACTATCTTTCCCTCACCGCAACAAAGTGTTTCCGTAGCCTTAACCTGACCTGGGTCACAGGACCTGGACTTACATCTCTGGTGTCAAAATCCTGTGCTTTGTATATCCAACTACCCACCCCGACCTACTCTCTATGAATTATCTGCAGTATAACAATGTCGTACATCCTGGATTGGATAAAACTTTGCCAGTGAACATAATACAGGCAACAATTGCATTTCTTCCTATTCATAAATTGGAAATACAATGGGCAGGATAGAAAGATATTTGCAGGACACAGAGCTGGATATTGGCACCAAAGAGCTTTTTCACTGGTAGATGGTCAGGGTTGTTGCAAATTTGAATTTGGGGGTTTGTTGTTCTTTAACTGTGACAGAGGTTTAACACATTCTGTCGTTGCAGGAACTTTCTGCATCATCTCCCTCTGCACCTGTGTTGCCGGCATCAACTTTGAGCTTTCCCGTTACCCGCGGTATCTGTACGGCCTGCCTGATGACATCGGCCATGGCTATGGCTGGTCGATGTTCTGCGCCTGGGGAGGCCTGGGCCTCACCCTCATCGCGGGCTTCTTCTGCACCTTGGCTCCCTCCGTTCAGCCGATACCGCGATCCACCTGCCCCAAGTCCCGGCAGGAGAACGGGACCGTCTGCTAAAGCTGGCAGCTGTGAGAAGACCAACTGAACCCACAGATTGACAACAAGCAAACAGAAAAAAACTGCTCCATGTCTTCATCCGTCCACTCATCTCCAGTCTTTCTGGTTACAGATTCTTTTTTATTTGTGTGTGTGTGTTTAAAATGGGTGTCTTGGTGGTCTGCTATCTTGAAAATAACTGAAGAACTAAAGAAATATTATCAAAAATATGAAGTTGTGCTTGTTTTTATGTTGTGGAGCAGACCTGAAGTGGACCCTGACCAAGAAAAGTTGCAATGGAAATACACAGAGACACTGAAAGACTAGATTTTGGACAGTGGAGTGGTTGTAGCAAAAGAGGGTGAACTGAACATGGAAACAGCTTCTATTAACTGGTCGACTGATTTTGGAGAACTCAATGAATCAGCAATATGGGAGGGAAACAATCAGATTGTTAAGATCAGATCAAGTAAAGATCTTTGACAAAGTTTCTCATGGACTTGGCCTTGTGGAGCCTCTTGAGGGATTATTCAGAATGGAATGGACCAGACATGAAACCATGCGACTTGCTAGGCTGGGATCATGTTTAGTGGCCATCTGTTAACTTTCAGCGTTCCAGCTTCTGAGGTCCCTCCAGTTACTTGGGACACGCAGGCAGCGAGGAGATCCAGGACCTCCACTATTGTACATTATTGTACAGAATATTCCAGACAAGAGACAACCAGGAAATGTCATGTTGGACCATTTTCATTCTCGTTTAGGTGCGTTCCATTCCTCCTAATGATCCCATATGCTGTTTAGCATTTTATACATGCATTCCTCTTTTATTCAAAGTGTATTTTCCTTTTAATGAACCCTTCATGTTGGGAACGAACTGTCAACTGAGCGTAATTTCAGAGCAAATGTCGTGTTTGATTTTTTTTCCATACTAGTCATAGAGGTAAATGTGTGTGTGAGTGTGTGTATGTGTGGGGAGGTGTTGTTTTGCAGTCTCTATAGAAAAAAAGATGTAAAAAATGCTCATAATTTCAAAGTGGAGCCCTGCCTTGGGTACGTATAAAGGCATGAGCTTTGATGAACAGAAAGACATAATGGAGAGATGTAGTATCCTGTTTAACCCGACTGACTTCTGCATTGTCGTCTTTTCTGGAGACATGGCAGATTTAGAGGAAGGAGGCTTAAGTAACAGAATATGATAAGAATACACTCCAGCTTTTCTTCCTGGGAATCTGTGACGCTCTGCGAGCTCTGAGCACACGGCTTTCCCTCCAGCTCCAACAGCCGAGACCTGGCAGGGGTAAACAGTGCAGTCTCAAAGCACAAGGTTAAAAAGGTGTCAGCTTACTCGGTCGAAACGCGTCTACACTGAAGGAGATAAGCTGTGTTCGGCATCTGCAAGAATCCTCAAGGCCTCGACCGCCAATCATGAGTCAGGAATCAAAATACACACAAATATTTCTATGCATATTAGGGAGGATGATCATACTGCTAGAAACATTTAAAACTCCAATTAACCAAATGCAGCAGCTACTGACACCCAGAGCTGAGCTTTAAACTGCAACAATACAAGACAAAAAGCATACATTGAAAGGCAGCGGGGACTACAGTCAACTTGATCCTCCATTGGAAGCAGCAGGATAGCTGAACTAATTGCAACTTTTTCTGATACCCGTTTACAGAAATGCTACGTGCAGTACTTTGATTCTGTGGACTGTAAAGATTCTGGTTTAGATCAGGGAGTCCCAACCTTTTTTGGATGTAGGGACTGGGAAGCAAGCCAGTCTTGCAGACCAATGGAGTTTACCTATGCTTGCGTGTTCTGCAACTATTGTCAGACACTGCCTTTATTCCTTTATTATACAAGTAAAATGAGTTCTGCCATGATTCAGTCCAGAGAATGATGCCAGTATGCTTTATCAAAAATGCTTGATGACCCCCTATGCCCTTCCTGTGTTGGAAGTGGGTGGGGGGGGGGGGGGGGGTAACTGACCATTTCAGACTTTCCAAAACCAACATGACATCATGACATTCACACCCATTTCACACCGGAGGTGAGAAAGTGAGCAGGGTTTGTCTCTCTGTAATCATGTAACAAAGTTTTTTCTGTCACTTTCTGTGTGAACAATAGAACACAACACTATGATCATCTTCCAGGAGAGACCGATAATGTGCAGAGCTATCCCCATATTGAAACGATTATCGCGTTTTGCCTTTCACCCCGCCTTCGAGTGATTTCCAGACTGGTTTCGACAATATGTTCCAAGCTTTTCTAGCATTACCCAGCTCTTGTGATTGGATACAGATACAGACAAGTAAACATAGACAGAATACAAGTTGATGAATGTGAATTACATTTGAACAAACAAGTCCATTCAATCAAGACAAGAAAGTGTCACAATGTGTCAATAACCATAAAAACAAAGTTAATAAATGACCTTTGACTGTCACATTTACAGACTTCATAATCTGCTCTTTATCTGTCAACAAAAATCAATGAAGCCCTTAGAGCCCATACAGTACATCTATAGATGTCAGAAGCATCTTTGCTGACCCAGTACCCAACACTTCTTAGAATGGCAGAGGTTTCTAATAATCAGCATTAACTGTTGGCTTCTTTGCAACCTGTTTGATCATCTTGACTGTTTCTTGATGTATTGGACTTTATTGTTTGAATGTCACTGTGAGTAGAGTTAAATCATGAAATGATGGTCGGCTAACAATACAAAAAGACACAATATGTAATACACCGGAGAACAGAAACTCATGCAGCACATTCTGGTTCCCTCGATGGGTTACAGTTACATCCCATCTCATAAAGATCAATCAACATCTTGCTCTGTAACGTTGGTTTCGCTGAAGAATTGGCTGTATGCTAAAATTGCACAAATAGTAGGCAGGATGAAGTCAGAAACTGTGTGGTGAAAAATGAATTCAGTAATATTTTGAGGGATGGGTATTGAGAACCAGTTCCAAGTTGGAACCATTACCAAATTTCCAAGAACCATGGATTCAATAGGACATGTGCATTTCAAATCTGCTTATCGGTTTCGAACTTCTTGCATATTTCTGCTCCAAATAAAACTGCAGTGAGCATTTTACAGTCCATAAAAGTGTCACTCATCTGCCAGGACCTGCTACGGGACCTAATGTTAAGCAGTACGTAAACAAAGCATGCAAGAAGAAGATACTTTTGTTTCCATTCCTGAACCATGGCGGTCTCTCTGTAGAAAGCAGAAAGCACTCAAAAGTTTTGCTTAGCTTCACTAAAAAAAGAGAACGACAAAATCCAACACCTGAAATAAGGACATTTGGTGCGAGGCAGGAAGCAGCTCCAACATGACAAAGCATATACTTCAACACGGCGTGAATCTGAAGGAACGCACGCTAACGCTAACAGTAGCAACGTCTCAGGTACAAAACATAGGTGAGCTGATGTTCACCTTTTAGGGAAAACCAATGATGGCTACAAATGATTCCAATATATATTTTTCGTTCGATAGCAGTCCCCAGAGACGCCCCTCTAGTACAGAGACTCCCTTCACTTAAGCCATAAAGTGGAAGGTGAACAAGGAGGAAGAGGATAAATGTCACAGTCGATAAGTAGAATCGGAATCAGAATCAATAAAACTAAAACGATACCCAACCCTAATTATTATTGATTAAAAAACGTTTTAATTTACAATGAGACCGTCTCTGTGGGCTCTAAAGAAAATCCTACTGGGAGAGAGGGAAGGAGATTAGAGCAGAGTGTTTAAAGCGATGGCTGCTATGTGGGTTAACATCTTTGTCATAGCTTCTTTAGTTAGTGATAGCGCCTTCAAAGGGTTCAATGAAAACCACTCACCCTTCTGTGCCCAGCTAAACCCTTACAACCAGAGAGCAGGGCAATGAGATATGACAGTCAGTTTTTTTTCAATAATAAATTAATTATAAAGTTATCTGGACACGTCAAATATAGTTTTCTGGTGAACAGGTCTTCGATTTCTCGCGGAGTCAGTCCTCTGAGTCTTCAAAGAGGCCCTCACACAAAACCAGAGCATAAATGACAGATCACAAACTGTGTAGGAAGGAAGGAACACATAATCTTATAATAACATATATCTTGTCTAATGACATAATGAGGTCCTCGTCATACATTTACTGTTTAAAAGGCCTTTCCTGAGATAATGAGATATTCATCCATTAACTCTGGTAATGGGTTAGAAAATTAAAGAATCCAAAACGAAAATGAAATAATTAAGTTGCAGCCTTGACATAATGGACCAAAAATGTTCAGCAACCATGTCTGGTCCTTAATTCAAAAACGCAATTTCATTACACATATGTTACAGTGCGTATTTATTAATGCAGCCCGTACAGAACATGTAGTTTCTTGGATGAATGATAAAATAACATTTTCAAATAATGAGTTTCAGACCGTTTTCTTAAATCATTTCATAAACATAAATAAACAGTTTATCATAATCATTTATCTTTTTAATATTGAACACTTTGGGGCTCCATACTTTTGTTCTCCAGGCTGATGCGACACATGTGGATGCAGATGATTGGCGCAGTCAGAGAGACGGAGAGAAAGACAGACGTGTCCCTACAAATATTATTTGAAAGTAACCAAACCTGAGCCTGACCAAACACCGGGGCTTTACACAACAATACACCCCAAACCTGACAGGACACCGGATGATTTGTGTGTCAGGTTTGGCCAAGGCAGCAGAACCCTATTAGCATCAATTTACTCATTTCTGTCAGCTAATGTCACACTGAAGGAGATTATTCCTCAGTTTATGATTCCTTTAGTCTCATTCTGTAACCATACCACACCGGGTCAGAGGTGAAAAAAGTACTTTTTGAATAAATACCTGCAACGCAACCTTGTTCACAGACATATTTAAAGACTTTCCTGTATGTATTCCTGCATGTAGTCAAAACTAATAAAAGCTGAGTAAGTAGGGAAGCACACAGGCTTGGACTTACTGTATGTCAGGATACTGACATTTCAGAAATAGCTCAAGCTGACAGACTGAAACATGACTCACCCAAACAGCAGGATTCGTCAGAGCCAACTGAAAGCCTCCTCCTTTCTGAGCTAATTGATGAAAAAAAACACAGGCCGAGATTTTAGGACAGAGATACTGCAACTTCCATTGTGGACGGACGTTAAAAACAAACCTGAACAATCAACCTTTAACATCAGTAATGTGTCTGTTGAGTGAACATAACATGAGAAAAAAGAAAAAAGGAAATGTTCAACTGTGGAATGTAAAATCACAACAAAATAAATCTCATCGGTGTGTTTACTAATGATGTCGGTTGTTGTGCATGTTGGTGAATACAAAGTGTGAGGTGAGAAAAATGAGACAGGAGAAAAAAGGGATTCAGAGAGTTGATGAGCGAATGGTCTGTAAATAAATACGTTTTCACCAAGAATAGAAAAATTCCTACACAGAGGCAAACAAGGAAACATTCAAAACGGTGTGGCTGGATACCTCCAGATGACCTACTGGTGACATGAATAAAGATCTTCAAACAGCTGAAGGGGTACGTCTACACACCAATTAACGTGTCGATGCATCAGACTGCCTAATGGATTTATATAGCGTCTAGAAACTCTGGCCGACATTGGTCACTTAGCAAAAAGGAGGAGTCATTTTTTTCTGGAAAGTGTGACAGTGTCACTAGTGACTATAAGCACGCCACTGCCAGGCTCAGCGTGAGCACTTAATTCGCTCTTGACATTATCTGCAAGCTGCTGCCTCCTCAGCATGATAAAGTTAATTGGCACACACTGAAAGCAGCGTGAACCATTAGAGCGCCTCACTAGTTGGTCTTGACGGGGAACATGAAACCAAATGAGCTCAAAATCAAGGTCCCACATGGATAAAGACAACTGATTCAGATTCAGAGTTTGACCAGGCAACACTGATGTTGTGTGAGTGGTTTGTCTCCGGGGACTGGTTCGCTGACGTGGTTTAACTTTTTCACAGGAAAAGAAATGTGTGTGTGACCGGAAGCTCCATCTGACGGCAGAGATAGAGGAGAAATAAGGACCAAACTCATCACACTTCATGTATTCTCTTTTATTTAATATCTGTTTTATGTTCCTAGAGAGGTGTGATCCTTCTTTTTAGACATGTTTACATTAATTCTCAAGAATAGATATAACAAAAGGACCGTTCAGAACTGAAGCTTTTGGATGAGAAAGGCATACATGATTTACACCTCATGTCACTGATGGTTTGAGTTGGTCTTATGAGTATCCCAGCACACAGCGCCTCAACAATCAACCAATCTGAAATGAGACTCATAAAAATGGAAAACTGCCACAAATCCTTCTTCAGGAGTCCTTGGAGATTTACTGTTTAATTCAAGCGAGCATCCAGCTAAAGCCCAGTCCAATTGAAAATAAACACTCTTTTCAAATGTTCTAAACAGACCTCTTTGACTTCAGTATAAAACCGACAGGTACAAAGTACAAATCACATGAACAACAGTGTTTGCCATGAATATCAGCATCACTCATGCAGTTGAGGCTGTCGTGTACTGTATGTCTGGGACAATAGGAGAGGTCCTGAAGACAGCCGACAGTGAGCGCCACACAGTGGCACTGTGCTAAGATAGTCCACATGCTGCCACTGTATGTCTACATTCTACCCTCTGATACAGAGGTTTGGCCAACAGTTCTCCTGAGGGCATTCACCTAGCAGCAGATTTAGACCACACTTTCTCATGTTGTCTTGCAAGACTTTCAAGACCCAACCCCATTTACTGATGTGTAAAAAACCCTGGGACCATCTGTGTCCAGCCCAAAATGTATGACTGTGTGGACCATACACGCCGTCACAGGTGAGCACATCCATGTAGATAGTTCATGGAACTTTTTCTTAGCGACCTAGAGGTAGTCTCTGCTTTACCGACCTTCTAGCACCACCTATTTCACAAGGATGTCCATATTCATTTGGCTGTGCCACTTGACTGATTGGGCACTAAGCCCCTATACCTACCAGAAGTACAGGCTTTGAGCCACACGATTTCACGGCAATGCGTTCTAAAATGTGTCACCTGAATTTCTTTACGTGACATAAGCATGAGCTGCAGTTTCAGACATCACAGCAAAGAGTGCTGCAGCAGCAAACAACAGGATGAATCTGCACTCTTTGTGCGTCTGAGTTTCTGAAAGTCAGCTTTGGAAAATATTGCTCCTCTTAAGGAGTGGTTGGTGACCATATGACTAGGACAAGTGATTAACATATTTTATGCCAATATATACACCTTACTGATTAGCCTACACTTAAATTATTGCGGACATGTGGATCTACGCTGTAGAAGTTCAGCCAAATTCTGGCCATACCCCCCTTACCACTGCCTACTTTATACCAGTGTGAGGGATTTTCCCTTTGCCTATTTAAATAATACTGTTCTGAATGTAGCCATATCCCATAAAAAATTCTAAAGATTATTTTTATTATCTTTAGTTTAAATCATTGTTTTTTTAATCCCACATGGAGTCAGATCAGATCACAGTAAATAATCTGCTTTTCTACCTTAACAAACAAACTGCTTTACAAATGTTGCATCTCACTGCAAGTCATGCAAAAAAGCCTGGTTCAGAAAATCACTAGAAAGAGAAGTTAACAAGAAGCTACCATGGCCACTATGATATATAGCTAGTAACTCATATATATATATATATATATATATATATATATATATATAATTACTCAATGATGGCTTAAAATCATAGAATTTGCCATCAAACCAAATGTGATTTTAGTCATTTAGTGAAGTCATTTTGATTTTTAAGCTTAAACAGACACCAAATCCTGCTCTCTCTCTCCATCTGGTGGTTATAAAAAGCCACTGTCCCAGATTTTATTTTAGAAGTAGGAGGCAGGATGGCCCTTCACTTTCAGTTCAAACTATACTGGTGACAATCTGCTCTCAGTTTGAGCTCAGGGGATTTGGACTGCAGAGAGGGTGCGAGCAGCTGTGGTCATTACGAGCGGCAGAATCCCTGTTGCTGGCTCCACAATTCCTCTTGCATGTTCAAATCATCTGTCACGTTCATGATTCGGTCGTCCCTCGCACACAAACCTAATGCTGCTCTTACAATAGTTCAATAGCTTGCAATAGTTGACTTGCGGCCTAAGTAGTGCTCAGAATAGTTTTGAGCTTCCTCACTACTTCTGTCAACATTTCCATAGCTGTGTAGCTCCTTACAATACCATACATAAACTGTCCTAAGCCTTTAATTTCTTCCTGATCAAATAATCGAGGGTCTGATTGTCTGATGCAGCGCGTTGTCTATGAATGACTTCTCTCAAGGGTTCTTGGAGACAGCTTCTGTCAACTGAGGCTGAGACTTATGGAGAAACCTGTTCAGTCGGGTTTTAAAACATCACGAGTCTGCTGTTTATTCCAAAGCACCTCTCTCTGAACATGACAACTGTAATTTACCTTGTGACTACAAATACCATCTCAGACTGTGGAAATCACTCCTGACTCTTGTTTTAACAGAGCGACTATGCTTCCGTCTCAGCAGCACTTTGTGATCATGATACATTCAGACAGTGTTAGGAGGTGTGGCTGGGGTACCCTGCATAGACCAGCTCTAACCAGAAAACAAGACAAGAAACGCCAAGAGCTCAGAAGATCTGGAGGAGGACGAAATTAAAATATTATTTTATTGTATTAGTTGTTAATAGTTGTTTTGTACTCTTGTATCTGCTCATTCTGTTTGGTTGGAGGTGGTGATGTGTGTGCGTCTGTGTGTGTGTGTTGACATGATAGCGTCGCTCTGTAGCAGGTCTGTCTGGGTCTGTGTTGGGGGTCTGAAGGCTGTCTGGAAGCCCGGTGGTGGGGAGTGGAACAGGTTGGTGGGGGCCGGGTAGTGCGCCCAGCCACCTCTGTGGGGGGATGGCTGACTCTCAAAGCGGCCATTTTGTGAGGCGGAGCAGGACGGGGCATCCATTTCTGTGAGTGTCTGCAAGGACTTGAGCCAGTGTGGAGGATTGTCATCTTGAAGAGAGTCCAGACTGTGGCCACTGGAGGCTGGGATCCCTGCAGAGGACAAGGTAACCAGACACTCAGATACAACATTTGAAATTAAATTACATTTAATTTAAAATTACATTTTAAGATACAAATAAATGGATGAGATTCTGTTTTCATGGCGAAATGCTCCATTTACCTGTATGTTCAGTATTTTCATATTGCTCACAAACATACGGAAAATGCATTGGGTTCACCAAAGAAAAAATATAGACACCTTATCTCGTAATTCTGAAAAAAGATGTGAGAAGTGAGAAAAGTTAAATGAGTCAGTGGAGACATGAGGATTGAATATTACATTATGTTCACCAGAAGCTCACTTTCATTTTGAAATCTGCTGTGACGCGATTTTACCGTAATGCCTAGAAAATACACGCATCGCAAAACAAAGCAGGGGCTGGCTTCACATGACATATTTTCTCATAATTCTGAGATAATTAGGTGAATAAAATGTATTTCAGTACAAACAAGATTAAACAAGTCAGTAATGTAGAACAATTACATCCACAAAGGATACAACATTAAAAGCGTACAGCAGCAACAGATATTTCTCAAACCCCGGTAGCTAGCTTACCAACATTGCAACTCGAAGGCTGACAGTTCAGTTGGAGACTTGGGTGTGTTATGCTAGTAGCAGATAAAGCAGCCTTGAGCCACTGGGCTCAAGCAGGGAAGAGGAGTGCAGAGTTAGAAAGAAGTGAGCTTAGCAGATCACTTCTTTCTGTGAGCAAGTCAGAGATGGTCTAACCTCCTGGAGTCTAGTGAGCTCACAACACCGCCAGGTTTTTTTTCAAACTTTTTTTTTTCCCAACTGACGCTGACTCAAGTGACTTCACTTGAGGACATTTTTCAGATTTCACACGGCTCGCTCTGGATACACAAAATGCTTTATACAACTAAATCAATACAAAAACCTCCTGCTGATGTTAGCTAGTTGCTAACTTTGACTGTGTACTATTATGAGTATGTAGTGTATAGTGGGTTTATTAGAGCTTTTTCACTGCTACTGGTAGAAACAACACGATGAGCTAAAAGAGGCTTAAAAGCTTGTGGAGCTGCAGCGTTAGTGGTAATGCCCTGTGGGGGTTTCACTGCAAGTGACCCCTTTCACATTACACAGTCATCTAATTCATTGTTAACATAAAAAAGATTGAAAGATTGTAATTACTGGAGTTTGTGAACCAGACAAATCTGCTGAGCTCATGGTAGATACGTCTGGCCCCCCAGCCATTCAGATAGAATGAGGATCCGGTC